TGATCACAATGGGGTTTGATACAATAGTGTTATGGTTAGGTATATAGATCAAGGATGGAGTTCTATGATGAAAAGAGTCCTTAAACTGCTGGTAATGTAGGAAACAGATACTTTGGTGTTGAGGCTGATAATGCAATCATTAGTCAACCTATGTTTTGTAACAAGATATCACGGGCAAGATACTGAATGAAAATTACAGAATAAATTGATAACAGGTCAGGAGAGCAAGGATCTTACGAAAAACTTACTTACTCAGTATGAAAAGCTGTGCGTTCTGTAAAATTTCATGACGCTGGAGGTGTAACTAGCACTGTCATTAGTACATCATTAGCCAGTCCAGAGCAAGAGGCTAATATAAATTATATGCATGATTATATGCACAAAGTGCCATTCATTGGATGAGGAAGCCTAACTGATGCTCTCGGCAGGCTGTTGCAGTCATGGTTATTGTAGTAAACGATTAACTAAAATTCAGGGTTGCATGGACGTGTTTGCTGGAGTTATCATAGATATAAAGTACTTGACTAATCTATGATAGCAGGCCAAAAATATGCTTTTCTCTAACTTACAGCCTGACATAAAGCAAACTAAAGCAGAACTAAGTGAACTAGACAAGAGGCTCTATTAGAAGCAATAAGTGGTAGATAAATAAAAGAAAACGTCAATAGATTGAGATGGAGGCCTTCACCTATTACTGCAGGGGAGTCTTTCATCTCGCATCAGCTCAAAATCAAATAAAATAAAATGGCGTAATTCTTCTTTATAATATTCCCAGCAATATTTTTTTAAATAACTGCTTGAGAACCTATGAATCAAACCAGTAAAAAAAATAGTTGTTTTTTTTGTGAATTTCAAAATCCAAAAATATATAGTAAAGAGGCAGAATTCCATAAACGAGGAAATATAAGCACCTGTCCATTAGTATTTTACAACTTGCACAAGGCTAAACTTTTTTGGATACTTTGTTTGCTTAAAGGGACACCCCGGCAATACCTCTTTTTTAATATTGCTTTTATTTAAAGCTACACTCATGCAGTTATTTCAGATAATAGTGCTTGGAACATTCCTGCAGTGAAAAAGTTAGACAGCAGTAATCCCAAGATTTCCTCCCGCTTCACATTCAATTCCAAAACAATCCATGGGGTGTAACAATTGGTGGCCAAATTGCAAAGTCAGAGAAACAGTAAGCTTATCACTACATGTCTGTCTGTTGTGTGTCTATCTGGGTGTCTTTTTATAGTCTAGGCTGCTAATTAATTAATATACAATTAATATGCTGCTTCATGCATTCCTAAATCAAGCTACAGACTTACAGATAGGCACTTACTATGTATTTACGTGGATGTCCTCACCTTCCAATGCAGTCTGTTTTTTTTGGGGGGGGGGGGATGACTAAAGTAGCACTCTTATGGTGAAGCATTCACAAAAACATTTAAGCATGCAAAAATGCTGAATATTATTAAGGGCAAAACCTGCCAAATGCATTAAAATTGTGCAGTTGCCAGACATGTTCCATTAATAGAGCAAATACAAAAAAAAGCCATTTAAATAGGGATACAATTTTTTTATATTTTTATTTTATGCATAGGCTGACACAATTATATGAAAATATGAGCAAGTCTCTCCAGCTGCTAATGTTTAAGGCTACCAGTGTCTTAGTTAGACAGGCCAACATCTGCAGATTACATTAAACAAATACACTAGGCATCATGACCACTACAGTGTGCTGCAGTGCTTATGGTGCATTTAGTCCCTTTGCTCCCTCCTCTGTAATCTGTCAAATCATTTAGACACACTTCCTCTGTTGTGTCTTGTGCTACCTTCTAGTTTGACTTGCTATCATAAAGTGGAGGTTCATACTTTTGCACATAATAGTAACTCATACCAGATTTGACAACGAAAAGAAAGAAAAAAAGGAGCTTAACAATAATCTGAAAAGGTAACACACACGCAAGAACTTGAAGAGAGAGGGGGGATAACTCGCAAAGTATGCCATTGACATTAAAGAAGAAATGCGTGTACCACTAATGTCAGCTATAAACTAAATCCTCATATAAACCCCATAATGATCACAGTAAAATCAAAACTTAACTTTTAATAAATAGTGTTAAAAAGTGGATGACTCAGGAAAAGGTGCTACACCTGTTAAAGAAAATTAATGTAAATAAAGCTCTGGGGCCTGACGGTATTCACCCACAAGTATTTAAGGAGCTAAGTGGGGAAATAAGTGAACCACTGTATTAAATTTTTTAAGATTCTTTTGTTTCAGGTATTGTACCGGAGGATTGGAGGTAGGCAGATATCGTTCCTATATTTAAAAAGGGTTCAAAATCTGTGCCTGGAAATTATAGACCTGTGAGCGTAACTTCTGTGACTTGGAAAATATTTAAAGGGCTATTATGAGATAATATTCATGAATTCATTGGAAGAACTTTGTTATTAGCAATAATCAGCATGGTTTTATGAAACATAGGTCATTTCAAATTAACCTAATTGCATTCTACGAAGAAGTAAGTAGAAGTATAGATCAGGGTGTTGCAGTGGATGTGATCTACATGGATTTTGCCAAGGCATTTGATACGGTTCCTCACAATAGGTTAGTCCTTAAACTAAAATAAATTGGTCTAGATGAATATTCTTGTTCTTGGGTAGAACATTGGTTTAAGGATAAAGTACAACGAGTTGTCATTAATGGTAAATTTTTAGGCTGGACCAAAGTGGTAAGTGGTGTCCCTCAGGGTTCTGTTTTGGGACCACTTCTGTTTAAAATATTTATAAATGATCTTGAAATAGGCATTGAAAGCCATCTTTCCGTGTTTGCACATGACACAAAACTTTGTAAAGTAATAAAATGTGAGCAGGATATTGCTTTGCTGCAGAGGGATTTGGATAGATTGGGGTACTGGGCACTAAAATGGCAGATTAAATTTAGCATAGAGAAATGCAAAGTTATGCACTTAGGGGTCAAAAAGGCACAAGCAATTTACACCCTAAATGGTAGTGAATTAGGGATAACGACACACAAGAAGGATTTGTGAATTTTTATAGACAACAAATTAGGCAGCAATATGCAATGTCAATCTGCTGTTGCTAAGGCCAGTAAGGTTTTGTCATGTATAAATAGTGGCATAAATTCTCAGGATGAAAATATAATTTTGCCTCTTTATAAATCGCTGGTAAGACCACACCTGAAATATGCTGTGCAATTTTGGGCACCTGTTCTAAAGAAGGATATCATGGCACTAGAAAAAGTGCAGAGACAAGCTAGCAACTAAGCATTTTAGTTACTAAGAAAGGTTAAAAATTTTTAATCTCTTTAGTTTGGAAAAACGGTGCCTCAGAGGGGATATGATAACATTATACAAATATATTCGGGGCCAATACAAACCATTATCTGGAAATCTCTTCATAAACAGGGCTATATATAGGACACAAGGTCACACCTTTAGGCTGGAAGAAAGGAGATTTCATCTAAGGCAAAGAAAAGGTTTGTTTACAGTAAGAGCAATAAGGATATGGAATTTTCTGCCTGAAGAGGTGGTTTTATCAGAGTCCATACAGATGTTTAAACTGCAATTGGATAAATACTTGCAAAAACATAACATACAGGGATATAATTTTTAATTAGTTGAGTAATAGCTGCTTGATCCAAGGAGACATCTGACTGCTATTTTGGGGTCAAGAAGGAATTTTTTTCCTAGTTTGTTGCAAAATTGGAAGCGCTTCAGACGGTCTTTTGCCTTCTTTTGGATCAACAGCAAAAACATACGTAAGGATGGCTGAACTTGATGGACGCAAGTCTCTTTTCAGCTATGTAACTATGTAACTAAGTTAATGTTAAAAAACAAATAACGGGATAAAGGGATTACAAACAAAAAGGTTTACTAGGTAATCAAAATGTAACACTGAATGGTTTTATGTAGAAACTGAGCGATAGTTGTGTTGTGATATTAATTAAAATCAATGAGTCAACATACAGCGTAGAAATCTAGTAACACATAAGTATCATTCTCCTCTATGCAACAGAAATTAGTAACACAATATCAAGTCTTCACTAGTTGGTAAATATCTATAAAGGAACAATAAAGGTGGGGGACAGGTAACCTAAGTAGTTGTAAAAACTGCCAATACATATGTATATATTCAGTCCATGCAAGGAACAGCTAAATATTTATATAATTTTTATGAAATCCCTAGCATGCCTTCGAGGGCACCTATCATTTAACCCCAAACCTCTATCCAAACTAATATCCTTACAGATAAAGAGAACCTTAAGCAAAAATAATGATAAAAATCAATAAAAGAAATCCTGAAAGGTATAGTGCTACACCTTCGTAAGATTATAGATCAATGTTTAGAGGGTCTGAGTCAAAAACAGGAATGTAAAGCACTGTGGGCCTCTGATGCACTTTTTTCATCTCAGGCTCATCAGAGGGGAACCACTTGATACTACGTTAATAATTTCTACTGCATAGAGGAGAATTATACATTTTTTTTATTAGATATCTCCTCTGTATGATGACTCACTGACTTGGATTAGTATCACAACATCACTATCCCTCAGTTCAGTTTCTACATTACTCTCTTCAGTGTTACATTTTGATTACCTAATAAACCTTATTGTTTTTAATCCCTTTATCCCTTTGGTTTGTTGTTTAATACTATTTATTAAAAGTTAAGTTTTAATTTTACTGTGATTACAGTTGGGGATTTATATATGGATTTAGTTTATAGCTGACATTAGTGTTACACACTAACCAGATGTAAATAGTATTCACAGACTAAGGCCTGCCAGCTGACACTTTCAGTCAATGAATACTGTCTAAACTTGATATGAGTGTACACTCGACACAACAAGGCGAGTGTCAAACTGTTCATAAATGGTTTAACTGATTACTAGTGAAGGGCACTTGGGGACTCCTGGCACCATAAACACTATAATGTTATGATGTCTTAAAGCCTTCTGAACTGGAGATTCCACCAGATTTTGTATCTCTAATACATTTTTAATTGCATGCTTGCTCTCTCGCACTCTCTCTCACCCTGTCTCTGTCTCTGTGTCTCTCTCTCTCTCTCTCTATATATATATATATATATATATATATATATAAAACTTTAAAAAAATAGAGAGAGAGAGAGAGACAGTGAGAGAGGGCAAGCATGCAATTAAAAATCCATGAAGATACAAAATCTGGTGAAATATATATAAAAATAAAAAAAATACATATTTGACTGCAGGTTACAACACCATGCATAGTTACTTTGACTCCCATGAGTGCAAGGCTATTGGTTGTGGAAGTGTATATGTTTATGCGTGCACGTGTGTATATCACACATTTTAGGAAGGACGACGATAGTGTTAACATTTTTTGAAAAATGTTGTCCTTAAAGCCCTATTCTTTTGGCTGGGGATGAGTTAAACCCCATTTTAATTTACAGTCTGTAAAATAGTTTTGTTGGCAGGGATTCATAAATCTGTTTCATCAGTACGACTGCTGAATGATAATAGTGCTTTCTCTGGAGCTGACTCTATCTCCTGCAAGCTTGCCTCTTAGGCCATGGAGGATTCGACTGTAGGGATATCACTTGGTGCCAGTCTTCACAGAATCATAAGCATTACTGAAAATGTGCTGGAGCCTCACATTATTATGCAGGTCCAGGGTCATTAAAATTTTATCATATAAACCCTGCCGTCTGCACAGAAGAGGAATTGAGATCCTTGGCAGAGGATGATCACATATTTTATCAGTTTTCTGAAAGGGAAACCAGCAGGTTCAGAGCAGGAGAGAAACAGAATAATATTCTCTTTAATATAAACATAATATTATGTCAAAACCTTCTGAAATTGACATTTATCTACCATGGTTAATATTAACTTCTCCTCCAGACTAGCTGAATGTCTCATGGCTGCATGACAATTCATACTAGTCACACTTGATATGCTTGCTCCATGTTTTACTTTTAGGCAGATTTACTTAAAAAGTATTGCAAGTGAGCGAAAAAAGGAAACAATGAAAAAAAAAATACAAAAAATTAAATACTGCCATTTATTATATGCTTTACTTCAGGTCATAATTTTTGTTTTTGCTAGTAATGAAAAATTCAAGTAATCTCAAAGTCTTTATAATAGAAAATTATGCAAAATGGCATTAGGATAGTAGCAATATTGTTTTAGAAAAGTGTTACAGCCAATTAGATACATGTTTATTTTTAAAATACAAACTAACATTTTCGTTTTCATTTTCATTACAATGTATTTTATTGAAGCAAAGCACATACTAATTGAATTGTTATTTAATTTCTGCATCATATTGCAGAATGACAGCGCTAATCCCCATTGGTCTTTTTTTATTGTTCTTACTATTGCTTCCAATACAACTTTTTGTTAATATGGGTTTTGGTAGAACATAATAGAAGAGCCATTAGGCTTAAAGGATGTGAATTACATGAATGCATAATAGCAAAGAATTTAATTTACATTCCAATCATGAAGAAAACTGTGGGGGTGCTTTAACACCTTAAGGACCAAACTTCTGGAATAAAAGGAAACATGACATGTCACACATATCATGTGTCCTTAAGGGGTTAAATGGAAGGTTTATATGTCAGATGTTATCCAAACCCCACCTTACAACAATGAAACTACAACCCCTATTATGCTAGGTTAATGTTTACAAAAAAATATTAGAGATGTCAACAACACCTAAAGGGCTTTATATTATATTTTACTATTTTATATTATGTGTCATTGACCGGTCTGATTGTCTGCATCAGTGTTACATATAGATAAATGTATACTTTTGTTGTGAAAACTGTAAATGTTGTGAAAGGAAACACATAAAGAAAAAAATATAAATAAAAAACAGTGGATTCCTTATTTAGCATCTTAGTAAAGGGCAGTAATGGCTAACCTTGACAGTACAGAATGTGTGAATTAAAGCTTCCCATGATGCTAAGCTAGGCTTAATGCAAGCTGAGCATCATGGGAAGTGTAGCTCACAATTAACTTCAGTGACAAGGTTAGCTATCATTGTACTAAGGTATTGTTCTTCAAACATTAACACAATGAAGGTCTGAAGCTGTTAGGGTATTAAACCACCATAACAGTCTATTCTATTTTACTGCTCTTACAAAAATAAAGATAAGAAAAAAATAAACATTGTACTGGATTGAGAACTAGTGAAATCAGAAAGATATCCATTCACAGACACCAATAAAAACAAGTATCAGTATAGTCAGAATTCGAGAAATATGGAAACATGGATTTGGCAGGTTACAAGTGGTACTGCGACATCATTAACGTCACACTTTAGTCTTAGGAATACAAAGATGTATTCCTAACACTATTCAGTTCTACTGCCCTTGAGCCCAACCACCACCAAGCGTTGTAAAGGGATAAAAAAAAATGTTCAATCACTTACTTGATTCTAATGCCAATGTCCCTATGTGCTGTGTCGAGTTCCGCCTTCTCTGACATGCCGATGGGTTGGACCTAATGTACATGCGTGTTGACTTTAAGCCTTCCTTTGCCTCAATACTTTCCTATGGAGTTATTCATCATGCTGGATGTCCTCATGCAGAGTGTGAGAACTTCTAGCATCGTTTCACAGAGGGGCACATGATTTACCATTACTGACCCATATCCTATAGGCATGAGAGGCACATGATTTACCATTACTGACCCATATCCTATAGGCATGAGAGGCACATGATTTACCATTACTGACCCATATCCTATAGGCATGAGGGGCACATGATTTACCATTACTGACCCATATCCTATAGGCATGAGGGGCACATGATTTACCATTACTGACCCATATCCTATAGGCATGAGAGGCACATGATTTACCATTACTGACCCATATCCTATAGGCATGAGGGGCACATGATTTACCATTACTGACCCATATCCTATAGGCATGAGGGGCACATGATTTACCATTACTGACCCATATCCTATAGGCATGAGGGGCACATGATTTACCATTACTGACCCATATCCTATAGGCATGAGGGGCACATGATTTACCATTACTGACCCATATCCTATAGGCATGAGGGCACATGATTTACCATTACTGACCCATATCCTATAGGCATGAGAGGCACATGATTTACCATTACTGACCCATATCCTATAGGCATGAGAGGCACATGATTTACCATTACTGACCCATATCCTATAGGCATGAGGGGCACATGATTTACCATTACTGACCCATATCCTATAGGCATGAGAGGCACATGATTTACCATTACTGACCCATATCCTATAGGCATGAGGGGCACATGATTTACCATTACTGACCCATATCCTATAGGCATGAGGGGCACATGATTTACCATTACTGACCCATATCCTATAGGCATGAGAGGCACATGATTTACCATTACTGACCCATATCCTATAGGCATGAGAGGCACATGATTTACCATTACTGACCCATATCCTATAGGCATGAGGGGCACATGATTTACCATTACTGACCCATATCCTATAGGCATGAGAGGCACATGATTTACCATTACTGACCCATATCCTATAGGCATGAGAGGCACATGATTTACCATTACTGACCCATATCCTATAGGCATGAGGGGCACATGATTTACCATTACTGACCCATATCCTATAGGCATGAGAGGCACATGATTTACCATTACTGACCCATATCCTATAGGCATGAGAGGCACATGATTTACCATTACTGACCCATATCCTATAGGCATGAGAGGCACATGATTTACCATTACTGACCCATATCCTATAGGCATGAGAGGCACATGATTTACCATTACTGACCCATATCCTATAGGCATGAGGGGCACATGATTTACCATTACTGACCCATATCCTATAGGCATGAGAGGCACATGATTTACCAATACTGACCCATATCTCATAGTCATGAGAGGCACAAGATACACAGTTGTTTTATGTTTTCATTTTTAAGGTGTTTGTTGATTGAAGGCATGCTAGAGAAAAATATTATCCATGTAAGCCTTAGATTATTGCAGTATTATACTATTATATTTAAATGCAACAACAAAAAAATGTAAATTGGAAGGCTAAGCACCATTTATAGTAATATATAACTAGGTTTTGATTTCTATTTTCTTGTATTGTTTTTCATTGAATGCATTGAAATATGAAATAGATTTAATTTATCTTTAGTTTTAGAGTTTTACAGAAGCTTGAAATGAGTTGCAGGCATTTCTGGTATTTGATATGTTAACTTAATTTGAAATGCATTCATACATTCAGAGTGCTTTTCCTATCCAATTGAGTTTGGGCCAAAACAACCAATCAAAAACTCTTAATTAAAAAAAAGCTCTTTCAGCTACTTACATTCATTGAATATTGTTTACAAGAACAATGGCCTTGATTTCCAAGATCATTCAATCCGGAGACTACTGGTGCATATACAGTATGCATTTCTGTTTTAATGCTAGGCTTTTAAGCCTAAATAATGGAAGTTAATCATGTTAAAGGTAAAGCTCAGCTAAACCAATGATACGGTGTCATTGTCACCCATACTAATTATCGGAACTTTAGGAATTGAGTTAAGCTAATATATTTTTTAATGATTTTACTGCTGTATCTTACATTATCAGTCAAAAATATAACTTGCAGCAACAAATTAGCAAACTGTTCATTTTTCAAGAGAACAAAGCCATTAGAATGCATGAACACATACACACCTCAAAATTAAGTTGTATTTACCTACTCACATAAACCCAGTGGAGCGCTATATATTAGAACACTTACCCTTATATTAAGGGGAATATGGTGACGGTGACAAAGATATAGGAAATGCACTAAATGATGGATGAGCTCAAATGGTACAGTGCCAAATAAGGATAGGCTTAAGTCACAACATCAATGGTATATAAGGTCATAGCCAAACCTTTTCTTTAATCCTGCAGAGAAGGGGGTAAAGCAGAATGGAAGACCAGCTCCTAGTGTGATATTGTAAAGGTAATGTATATACAGAATATTCAGTACATGTCCTGCTCACCTATATGAGAGCCAAATAACTGGGCTTTCAGTAAAACAGCAGGTGTGCCACTATGGGGGGTGGCACCTCCCTCTTTGGAACAAGCAGTTTGGTAAGGAATCTTAGAGACTTAGTGTAGTTTCCACAAGTTTATTTAACAATTTCAACAAATTAGAA